TTAAAGTAGCATATCAACTAGATAAATAAAAGAAGGAAGGAAAAAAAAGGAAAATAGTGCTTGAGAATTAAAGTGCTGCCAGAGAAAAGGTCAGTGATCTCATCATTGTAATACACCGATAGAATATATTTGAGTCTTGAATGGTAAAAAAATGTTAAAGATTCTGTCAAATTAATTTGATCCTGGTGGGTAGGTCTGTGTACAGTGTTTTCTTTGATAACAACATGGAAGTGATCTCTGGGTTTTTAAATTTTATTTTCCAGTCTACATAAAGCCATGAGATTTCTTGATGGTCTTTCATCCAATTACTATCTAGATCCACCCTTAGTTTTTGAGATTGCCATGGTTAGATGGAGGCTGCCTCCTAGGGTTAGACAAAGGCTAAAATGAGTGAGATCAACTTCTGGTTTTGTGTGCGTGTGTCTATTTCTAATGTGCAGCATTAGAGAAATGGTTTTCAGTGCATTCTTTCCATTTACACAATGGATTGCACATGTGGATGATGGATTAAAAACTTCTTGGTGGCTTAAATCAAACAATAGGGGGATTCATTTGTTAAATAAATATGGAACAAAATCCTTGTTTATTAGTGAGCAAGGCTATGTGGCACGTTAAAGGCAGAAAAGGTACTTTAGAGAATGCAAAAACACTCACATAGCAACTACCAGCAGTTCCTTAAAATAGCTAAATCTTTTCCTCAAATTGTAGGGCTGCCCTTTGAAGCAGCAGTGTAATCCAAGGAAAATATACAGTATGTCTGGTTTAAGGAGTAATAGACAGGTGCGAGGTGACTCACCATTTTTAAAGCTTTTAACCTGGAATCCTGTATGGTCCTACAAGTAAACATAATTACCAAATGCATAAAGTAGGCTCAGATATCTTCCACGGGCAATGCTGTTTGCTAAACACACATTTTTGAAAAACTGCTTTAGATGTGTGCATAATGAATACATTGTAGTGAATAGCGTTTGCCTTCTAGGATCACCTATCAACAAATAAAGAAACCATCAGTCAAGAAATATGCGTTAGACTAGCACTTAAAAATGAATAATAATTAATAATATAATATAATGATAATAATAATGAATAAGGTACATGGGAAATATATTTAATGAAGGACATGGAAAATATATTCAGATGGTAAGGTGTGTCTGTACCTATAAAGTTTAGAGTTGTACAGGCAATGGCTCCTCCCTTGTCACTCTATGGAAATGAAAGCTGGACTTTGAAGAAGCAAGAGAAAAGGAACTTTGGTATTTTTGCTTTTGAACTTTGGTGTTGGAGAAGATAGCTGAGAATACCATAAACAGCTGAGAAAAATAAATGGTCATCCAACAAATCAACCCAGAGGCTCAAATGATAGTATTTGGTACATTATGCAAAGACCTATGTCAGGCTTGCAGCCATATTCTCTTGTGGATCTTAGGCCTGCCACACTTTCTATTATTCTACTATGCATTTTCTATTGTGGGAAAATGGGAGGAGGGATTGTACAGTTAGAGGGTATTTAGCCAAAACAAATTCTTTCTAGAAAACCAAGGTCATCCTTTGTCTCTGCACCTCTGCACCTGACTGGAACTGGATGGGTGGAAGCTGCCAGTATGGCAATGGAAGATTGGACCATGTGATGGACTTGTGGGTGTGGGGGCAAGATCTTGAACTTTCAGCTGGGTGGGAAAACCTTCAGATTCAGGTTTTCCCAGATGTGCCAACATGGCTCTCTTAATAAATTGGAACTTTGAGCAACAGTTTGCTTTGGACTCTGATTTACCTTTGGATGCTACTTGGAACCCTAACAACCTACAATAGCGCCAAAGAGGGTATTCTATTTTCTTCACTATCGGTTCGGTAGTGGGAGCATGTGCAGAAGGTCTTTGATGACATCAGGATGGGTGGTGGAGCCTTGCACCACCGCCACTATCAGTTCGCTTGAACCGATGCAAATCAGCAGCATATCACCTCTGAGTCTATATAGAAGTCTATAATGCTGGGAGAGGTGGAGGGAAAGGGAAGAAAAGGATGATAAGTATCAAACTCAAGTA